AAATACATCTATTGCTCTGTATATGATATTGGATACCTTTTCATTCCTGACGATTCTGATTTATTATAGTCACTATTGTATGCATAGCTCAGAAAGGACAGAAAAGTGGGGTGGAATTGTTACTGAGATGTGAAGAATGAAAAATATTTATTTAATGCTGGCTCCTGTTTTATTCTTCAGAATGGAGTGTTTTGTTGTATTTTTTTATGTATGTTTACATACAGTATATGTGTTTTACACAGATCCTTTGGACTATGGCAAAATCCACTGATCTTTAATAACTCTGCTTTTCCAATGCATGTTTCTCGAAATCGTATCTGATTTACTTATCCAGACTCGTAATAACTTTACTGAAATTATATATGCAATAAATGTAGCCAGGTTTCTCTTCTACTCAGTGCACTTCTACCCAAAATAGAAATTGCTTTCCTTTGACTTGACCAAAATACAGGTATAGCAACACACTTTAACATAGTTTCTTTTTCATATTCATTAGCTGGAGGCTTATTAAAAATGAGGATGGTTTATGTATTTTCTGTTCTCCCTTATGCTGGCCATTTTTCTCTCTGTTTTATAATTACTTTTCTGCTAACTTTTTGCACCAATATGTTGTTCATCACAGCTCTCTCCCCTGATGAATCACAAGCAATACCTTTAGCTGGCTTTGGCCATGACTCAGTGAATCTCCACAGGTGTTGAGTAGACTCATATTTCCAATTAGTGAAGTACAAAGAAGTTCATTGGTGTTCTTTATAAGGGTTCACATCTTTCACAGGCATAGATTATAGGAGACATTTTATGATACACCGGCACTTCCTATTAAATGCTGTAGCATTATATGTTACAAATAGCAATGTTTTAAAAATGTACCTATTTAAATGATCAGATGATTATAAAGTTAATGCTGAATATGTGTATCCTTTTCATTTTTTAAATTTCCTTCTGTTTCCTCTGTGATATTCTGAACTTTAATTTGCAGTGGAAACCAAGATGCTCTTTAGTTTGCTTAATCAATCATGTCTGAGTTAAGATTATGCTTAATGTGGAAGTATTTGTATGAGAAGTTTTTAATAGAAAAGCTGACCAGCAGCAAATTGTGTGCTGATTCATTTTGTCTCAATTACCAGCCTATAATTTGGTCTTGGTTCTTTATTAATAATCTCAGTCCTTTACATTTTCCCCAAGTGTCTGTAGGGTGGTAAGCACACTCAGACTGCACATCTAAAGGGCAGACAGCAGCTGGGAACAATGTACTTATTTTATCAATGATGAAGGACAGACAGGCTTAAGATAAGAACTAATTTTCTAGTTTGACCATTTGAAATCAGTGATGTTGTAACTTCATGAGATCAGTCAGGCTCTTGTCACTTAGAAATAAGCCTTACTGGATCACCATGGAAAACATAAAGGGAAGAGCAGAATTACTCAAACTCTATGCTGAAACTTAAAAGTAGAAAATTTTGAATGCCCTGGCTTTATGTATTTTCCTACTCTTTGTTTTTCTGTTTTAATTGATCTTGCTAAATCAAGAACCAAGAGTTAAGTGACTGCAGCAAAACCATGTGGACAGTGCATTTTGAGTATATTTCTGTCAAACGACTTTTAAATTATCAAACCACTTCCATTATGCAGTTTTAGCCAAATTCACAAGCTGTATAAAGACATAAATCCAGCACCATTATCGGGAATAACGTTTGACACTTGAAGAATCAATAATGTGTAAGGTCTTGTGTGTCCTCTACAATATGTCAACTTTGCTGGCTATTTACCAGTCTACATTAACTTTCGTTTGTTGGGTTGTGGGGTTTATATCTCTTACGAGCTTTTTTTAAAATAGCTGGAATCAGTCTAATACCTGATGTCATAATATTTTGTTGTATGTCTACATCAGGGGTAGAACACTGCAGTGTTCCTAAGTTTTTACTTAATATCTACCAAAATTAAATCTGAATAATGACTCCAGGGAGTGGTTCACATAGTAAACCATAATTTATAATGAACTCTAAAAAATAAAATCCCATTGCTGCTTATTCAGAGGTTTGACTGTCTTTAAAGCTTGTTTTAATGTTAAGAATATGTGACTTAAATGGTAGTAAAAAAAAAAAGGAAAATAATTTTTATTGACTCATACTAGAATACCTTAGTCTCTAGAATTAAAACCTCCAACAGCTCTAACCCTTTTGGGAAGAGGGGTTTTTTCCAATAGCATCAATTTAAAGTAATATGCTTAAAGATGCATGATATTTCTGAACATCTACACCCAGATGGAAAGAAATTAAATTACAAAGAGGTATAACAGAGGCATTAACATGGTTATGTGCATCTTTAGGTTGTCTTTAAGGATCTACTGTCACATTTAGGTTTATGAAATGCTCATAATCAGCGATGTGCTCTATTTTACACTTCCATGCTGAGTGGCTCATACATCTTAGTTACTCATCCACAATATAATTATGTTTTTTAAAAAAGAAAAAGGCCTGCTGAATTAAAGACAGAGTTGGAAGTACTCCAATGTATTGCATTAATTTAGTTCAATTTATATGAGCATGTTTCACTCTGCTGGGGAGGTTAATTCACCAAGCTCCATTTCCTGCCTTAATCATCTACCATAAGGATATTAATATGTCGTATTAATGCCACACATTGCTACTGTGAAATTTGTAGTCCAGCCTCCAGCTCTAGTTTTTTAACAATGCTTGAGTTAATGGCTTATCTATACATAAACTGTTGAACTGCTTTTTTGTACAGTGGTCATAATATGAGAAGAAAACATTTGAGGTAGAGGATTTAAATAGAGGAATTTGAACTGTCTGTGCCTGGCACACCGCTGCTGCCACAGTGGTCCGTGGCTCAAATCAGCAGCACTGTCTATCTAGTGGTTTATTTTCCACTCTAGAACAATGTTCAGCTGGGAAATTTTCTGTCCCATACAGCAGGTTTTTAAGCTTCCACAAGATTAAGAAGTCAGTGTGGGGATATAAAGTTAACTGTTGACCCACATCAAGCAGTCACTTCTGGTACATATAAGGGGCAGGTTCTGGGTGTGAAGCACCCTGAAGCACCTTGGGGACTTGAAAACAGGGTCATCTTTTGGGGAACTTCAATGTGACAGAACTTTCAGCATAGCCAAGTGTCATAACCATTAGCAGAGCAGTGCTGAGGGTGTTGCTGTGACTTACTGTTGCTATTACAGAGAATTTCTTTTCCATGCAAAGACTATTCCTGCAGAAGGGAGGAGAAGGCAAAACTCACTACTGTGCTTTCTTTCCTGCCTCAGCAAGCGTTTCAGCCATGTGTGATGGGCCAGAAGAGGAGGACTACTGCTCTCTCTCCCCTCTCCCACCTAAAGAGGGCTATGGTGCCACTTTGTCCATTGCTGCAAACTGGAGCAGCACTAATGGAAGCCACTGATGGCACAGCCTTCCCAAAATAAACAAGTCTGTATTCTGCCTTCTGTACCTGCTAGAGTAAGGATTGTGGTTAGGAAACATGAGCTAAAAAAGGAGCTGGAAAACAACTGCTTCCTCCTACAGGCCATCTTTCACACTGAGGGACTTTTTTGCATAACTTGTATGTTTAACAGCAGAGCTTAAACTGAAGAGTCAAGTTTTTCTCTAAATTCACCTTCCTAAGCTGTGTTCCACCCCACAGCTGATTGTGCTGAAACACACAAAAAAAAACCTTAACTGGGGCTTGTACTTTGGTGGCTCCTTGAAAAGTGAAAAGCTTGCATATATGTGGGTTATGAAGGACATAAATGCATGCTATCATGTGTAAATCCATCAAACCAGTGTATATTACATACTGCTGAAGAAGAGGATTGTGTCAGCTGGGAAATAATGATATTTAAAGCATTACCTGGTAACATTCTTCATCCCACTGTCTGTAGGATGTCAGACATACTTCCTGTTATTTTCTTGATTCCTCTCAGGCTTTCAAACCACAAACCAAACTTCTCTGTAGATTTTCTCTGCACAGTGGTATCTTAGAGAGCACTAACTTCGAGCCTGAACCAAGGAAGTAACTGTTGGACCAAATGGCCCTTAACTTTTAACAGAACTGTTTCTCAGTTTTCTTGAAGTTGAGCTTGCTGTTTGCAAAGCTCTTTATGGAATAGCATAAAGCTGTTACAATAAATCACTTCCTCAAAAATAGAGCTTGTATTTAGAGCAGCCATGGAGCCAAGTTGCTCCAAGCAGACATCATCCTCTCAGTGTATATTTGTGCAGCTCTGTTAATAGTTAATTTTAATTCTGCTATGCAGAAGTTATTTTCACTGGAAAAAAGAAAAGCTGTGAGGTTACAAAGCCTGTTTCTAGCCTGTGTCATAAATCAGAGAGACTACCTCACTTGTCCTACAGACCTGTGTAGTTTTGATTTTAGGTGTGCACAACTGGATATATAACTTTGCAAGATGATTAAGCATGTAAGACTCTGAGATACATTCTGTCATTAAAGATTTCATATACTATTTATATATGCAAGCCTGAAGTGCAAGTCTAGACTTCCTGTGCTTCACATGTTTACTAGACAATGAGTCCAGATTATGGCAGATGGAAGTTTATTTTAGATTAAAAAAGAATCATCTCTAGAAAAAGCTATAAAACCTTACCACATTATTTTTATAATGAAATATGGGTTTATTTCTAATTCCAGCCTTAAGGTACACTGGCCCAACATGAAGTCATTTTTATAAGAAATAATATGGAACAAAAATGGTCAGAAAAATAAATGATTTTGCCTGGCGTACTCACCTTTATCACCACATATTATTCTAACCACTATACACTTGGGTGCCTGCATTGACTGAGGAATCATGAACAGGTATTTACAAGCAGACTTAAATGATAACAGGCCCTTTCAGAGACAGAATGAGACATAACATAAAATTGATCTGTGTACTTTTAAAGAAGGGATAATTTCAAAGCCACATTGGGGATGGCTGGGTGAGAAACTGAGATCAGAGAGCTGCTTCCAACATTTCCCTTTCTGAATTGCAGTACCCTCCCTTTAAAGGATCCTCATGTAGACAGTGCCTCTCCAGTGTATCAGGCTGTGCTTAAAACTCAGAACAAGCCTGAGGATGAGAGCGAGGACTGGAGCCGTCGCTCTGCCAACCTGCAGTCCAAGTCCTTCCGCATCCTTGCCCAGATGACTGGAACTGAGTACAGTAAGTTGAAAGACAAAACATGCCTGTCATCCTGATTTTAGATTCATGTCTTTCCTCACTGCCCTGGTATTGGCCACTGATACTCAGGGAATACTCCTGTCCAGGCTCATGTAGTTGTCAGCAAGGGTGAAGATCCTGGATGTAACTTGAGGGAATTTAGAAATCAAAGTGAACAATCTCATCTTATGCTTTATGAAGAAAATTCTTTGATCTGCCAGGGATATCACCATGAAAGTGTAACAGATTGTACAGTAAATGAGCATTTGGGACCCTATAGTTACTCCTACTTACAAATTGAGTCTCTGCAGTGCAATCTTTGGGTTTCCTGCAGCCTAAACACACAGAGCTGTCCATTCTTTAGACAAAAATTAAACAAGTCATGTTTCCTGTAACAACAGTCTTTCATATAAGTGACTTCTGGAGGTCAAAAAAATTAATGAATCACTATTTGTATGGAATCTATGGCTCTACCAGCCCAGTTATCTAAACCTAGAATATAAACCTGAATGTCACGGAGCTTTAGCTTTGTTGCTTGTTTCCTAGGGAAAAGTTTTTATGGCTACCTGGTACTAAGCTCACAGGTAGTTTTCTGATGTAGGGAGAAGGAAGGTTGGGGTGTTTTCCCATGTCAGGAGGAAATACTTAATATTTCCTTCCCCTATTAATGTGCTGCTGCTGTCTCTTCTGCTTTGTCTAAACATCAGGACCTCTCTGTAGAATCATTGCCTACAGCTGTGAAACATTGCTAATAATGAATGGGAAAGTAGTTGTAATAGCTACCTTCCTCTTAACATCCTCCTTCCTGTCCCTAGGGAGCTCTTCCACTTTATGATCTTGCAAATTCCACTGCTGCAAAACCTTTAGATAGGCTTTTGATAAGTTGCTAAAGAATTTAAAATAGCATAAAGCCAATCCCTTCCTTTCTGTTTTTTAATGGAAACATTTTTTTCTACAGTGCAAGATCCAGATGAAGAAGCCCTGAGGAGGTCAAGGTAGGCAACGCCCTGTGAAAAATACAGCTTTCTCCTTCCTGATAACCCAATAATGTTTTAAAATGGCATTAATATGAGCTTCCTTTATTATATTTTCATCCTAAAATATTCTAATGCACTTACTTAAAAATCACTAAAATTAAAGTGCTATCGTTGAGAGGCATTTGAATGAGAAGGATAACAAATCAGCATGTTTTTAGGAAAAACTGCAAAATTCCTGAAGTGTGTGTTCAAGTCTGAAAGCTCTCTGCTCATGCAACTTTCCTGTACTTCACTGGGTGTGTGAATGTGATGAGTTCCAAGCCCTGTGTAACTACATGAATGTGTGAGTGGAGAAAAATACATAATTCTGTGATAGCACTGTAATGTGTGAGCAATTTATTTGGATGATCCTCTGATTGACATTTGAGGCTCCTTAAATGATACAGTAAAGGAGCTTTTTCCATTCATACCCATAGTTACTAGTTTATGTTTTGTTTGGAATAAATATGACCTAAATGTGTAGAATATGGAAGCACAGGACTGCTTTTGCTAATGGATAAATGTATTTGTTTCATATGATGTATCAAAAACGCAGAAAAAGTGGATATGTTCAGAGATATAATATGGAATTAAAGATTTATCATCATCCTGCATAGCCAGGAAATAGATGTATTAAAGATTCTTATGTTGAGCTTAAAAACTGCAGTTGAATCAGGAGCGTTCTGTGTGCAATCTTTAGTTTCTGTTTGCATACTTCAATCCCTGTTTCACTTTAGCTTGTCTAAACTGCCGGCTGGGTTTGGTGATGTGTTTGGTACTCAATCCACCTCTTCTTTTTCTATTCTATATTTTACTGCCCTTTGGGTTCTTTAAAGATTCTGATCTTTTGATCACAATGCAGGTTACAAATGTTGAATCAGTGAGAAAGATATCTGCTGTCTCCCCTGTGAGAATACAAGAATGCTTTCAGTCGGTGTTTGCTATAAACCCTCTGCTGCAGTTCGCCCAAGTTCATGGCTGGGTGCCCGAACATCAGGCTTGACATTATAGCCCTCAGGGATTTATTTCTTCCCTCTAATGTGCAAGCCTAATTCTCATTACATGTATTGTGCATTATCTGTTTTGATGTAATAGCACATACCCAAATCCTTACTATGATGGGATTTAAAGCATTGTGCTGAACTTAACAGTGCCCCATTCATATCTGAGAGTAATATGTGGTTTTAGAGAAATAATCTCTCTAGGTGTAATCTGTGGCTTTGGAAAATACAAAAAAGTGGAAGCTTTACGTGACGTGAGATAAGTTGACTATAATTATCTGATAACACGTCAACACGTGTAAATTGCAAGTTCTATCCAAGTGTGAACAGGTTGAAGGTGTGCATTTATAGTAGAGGCATACAGGAGCATATATAGGTAGTTACACAGGGACAGTGCAACTGCTGTAAGATCTGGTGCAAAGAATAAAATGGGGTCTCCTTCCTACCCCACTGACAGTGCTGGCACCATCTGGGTGCTTGATGCTCACCTCAAACATTGGACACACTCCAGTGGGGATTTGGCAGCAGGGCCCTGGCTGTGCAGGCATCCATCACTATGGCCTCAGGCAGGCTGTGAGCAATCTTTCTCTGGTGCTTTCTCTTGTCTTTTTGTGTCAGCTCTGCAGTGTAGCCAGCAGGAATTGCATGGAATGGTGATCAGGTTTCTTACAAACACTTAGGAGTGGGGGAAGGAAGGATTTAGCTTATTTTTGGCAGAACTGTTTTACATAAAAATAGTCACTTTTAGATTGCTGATTCCAACTTCATGACATATGTTCAAAAAAAAAACCCATAAAATTTGGGAATTTTTGGGTGGCAGAATATTCCTTTCAGTTAATATTGATGAGTGTATTGCATGACTGTCCTTTGCTCATGCTACTGCTATTTTGAAGGCACATATAAAAGTATAACTTGCTATGAAAACTTTTCATTGCTGGTGTGATGATTGTTGTGGAATATTTTCTGGAGAGATGGGGTCCATTTTAAGCCAAACAGATGTTTCTGAATATCTTTTCCTTGAGTGGAGGGTGTATCTTGAAAACAGTATGGGAGTTCTTAAATTACATATCAGACCCACTGGAGCGAGTACATTCCAGTGTAGCTGGAAAAAAAATACCATCAGGAAGTTTCAGAAGTTTTTGAGAACTCATACATGAAGACTCCTTTAGGACTGTTACTTGCATGGCACTGTGTTATTAAGAGCAAAAGATTTAGAAATATCAGTGAATTTGTTGGCATTTACTCTGTTTATTGTTTTGTGCTTTCCTCAGCCTGAGGAGTAAAACCAGCCCAGTCTGCTCATTTCTGTTTGGCTGGTTTCACTCTCAAGTTCTATTGCATTAACACAATTAATTGTCTTGTGTTTTGAGTGCAAATAATGAGGAACAAATGACCTTGTTTACAATGACTGCAAAAAGTTTTGCAAATAATGAGAATATTTTTTTTTTTATTCTGTTTGATATACTTCTCCTTGACTCTGCTATCATCTCACATCCTCCTTTGTCCCCTTTTTTATGTACAAAAGCTGAATTCAAACAGCATCTAGAAAAGATTAATCCTGAGAGATGCTGAACATGGCTCGAGCACCCCAGTCCACAGTCAGGGGTGGCAGGAGGTGGCCAATACTTCATAGGACTTTGCTTTGAATATCTCCTGTTGTTTTGCTTTGTGACACAAATGACCAGAAATATCTATGCAAATGTCAGCATTAATACTCACTAATTCTGAGGAAGCTGTAGAAAAGTATTGCTGAAACCTGGGGTTGGTGGTCCTTGCAGGAAGGACAGCAGGTAATATATGTGCTGACCTAGGTGTTACAGAATGGAAAATATTTGCATTCATTTTGCACTTGTATGAGTTAAATTTCACTGGATCCTCAGTTGTGTGAGAGGGAGGGAAAAGCCAAGAGAAACTGCTGGGAGAAAAACAATGGGATTACACTGCATTTCTAGCAAAAGCAGCCCTGTAATACCAAGCACAAGTCAAAGAACAAGAAGTTGTATCAAGTTACTTCTCAGAAATAAACCACTGCAAAACCTTTCACACATGGTCCAAAAATCATCGTCCAGCTTTCACTATGCTGATTTGAAAGCTGAGGAAAAAAATCCAAATAAATTGCCGTTACCCTAGTTGTAAGGCAGGGGAGTGGTAGCCATGGTCCCTAACCCCTTTCTTTCTCCCTCCTTTCTTTCTTCTGTGTATGTGTGTCTCTCTCTATCTCTCTCTTTCCTCATGCCACAGGGAGAGGTTTGAAACGGAACGTAACAGCCCACGCTTTGCCAAATTGCGCAACTGGCATCACGGCCTGTCCGCGCAGCTCCTTAATGTTAAAAGCTAAAGGGCCCCAGTCAGAGGCCAAACACCAGAGAGCCACAGTAACACATTAACTGCTGGCCTGACTTAGAGCCTGAGCGTGCCCCTCGTGCAAAGATGTACTGCTAGGCAGTAGGTTTCTGCTGTTAGCCTGTTAGCCATTCACTGTCACAAATCATGATGAACCCAGGTCGTGTTCTTCATGATAAAGTAGTTTAGCTTTTTTTCCCTTTATTATCTCAAACTTCAGTATACAGCAACACATCACTATTGTAGTCTCTTGACTGTAATTCTAGAAGAAAATGAGAGGGAAGTTATTGATAGTACTTCTTTAGGAGGAAAAAGAATGAGATTTTCACAGAGTTTTACTGATGTAAAAGTAATGAAATAGGAGAAAGAAAGTTGAAAAGGAAAACTGATTGGCCTAGACTTTGCTACATGTATAACACATTTAGTTTGCATAGTTGAATGATGCTGTTTGAAATAAGGTATTAGCAATGTGAAGTTATATTTCAACATACTATACTGGCACAAGTAATTTCTTGAAGCCATTGCTGTAAGTTTTGTTTTGGAAACTTTAATTTATCATTATATAAAAGAGAGCTGGGGTTGCTCAGGATCTGCAAGGAAATGCCATGTTGCTTGAGGTGATTTAGGAGTGAGAAGAATATATCATACTGCTGGTGCACTGAAGCTTTTAAAAGCATCTTGTAAGTTTTAAGGAATATGTTGCCCATTCTGTATTGCTTTTGCCTTGACTCACATTTTTTTCTGTATATAGCAGCATGCTTTATCTCAAATAAAAGGTTTTAAAACTAAAATAATTATGTGCTTGTTTCACACAGTACTTTATTCTGTTTTAAAACAATAACTGCTTCAACTGATTATTGAAAGAACTTTTTTCCCAAATACAACATTTGGTCAAAAAGCTTTCCATTATTAGCTATAATTATTATTGACCTTTAAGTTGTCAGAATTGGAATAAACCTGACAAAGCAGTTGAGTTAGGTACCTTTATCTGATAGCAGTGATTCCAATCAAAGGGCTTACTGCATGAGATCAGGTTGAAACTGTTACACTTTTTGCTGTTTCCAGATTTATCTCAGCAATACATGCAAGAACCAAGTTCTTCCAATCTCCCATTTTTTTTTCTGTGTTATAGAAATAAGGAAAAGCTACTGTTCATGGAGAATTTTGCCAGAATCAGCCAAATACTGTTTAAAGGGTTACCATACATATATAAAACAACTAATTCTTCAGTATTACTTCAGAGTACATAAGCACTAATTCCTTTTAAAATACATTTCCCTTTTCTTAGGCAGATGCCAGAGCACTTCAGGACATGCTACTTAATTCACAACATGCATTATGTTTTGCTTATGGTAACGCAGATTCTGCTCACACCATCTTATTAGTACCTATGGTAAATCGGCATCACTAAATGAAATAAGAACAACATTTTAACATTTCCTGATTGCTGCCAGGAGCAACTTTTGGTCAACCAAAGTGGTGTATTTTTGTTTATGTAGAAGAAATTTTGATAGAATTTAATGTACCAATAGATAATTAAGATTTTTTCATAGGCATAAAATGTACCTAAGTAAAAAATCTTCCAGGTCTAATTTTCAACCAAATTAGATGGTTTTATGAATAAGCGGTAATACA